TCATGCGTCAAAGTTGCTGCCTTGCACTGCGAATCAGCAGTTCCCATCTAGAAGGCCCATGATCCCTCCGTCATTGATCGTATAGTGGGTGAAGATGTATTCAGAACAGGAGGTAGAGATCGTTCACAGAAACAATACAAAGTCAGATTTTCTTACCAAGAGCCGGAAGGCGATCGCTGGTTTACTCGAAAGGAACTTCTAGAGACAGCTCCCGACGAAGTTCGGGCCTATGAAAGAGCTAAGAAAGGTAAAGATCCTGCTCTGGATTGAAATTTTCTCGGAGGACCTCAAATTTAGGCCGGCGGGAGTGAAACGGTTTTCACCTTTGTGGTAGCAGTTGCAGTTCCCAGAGCTCACCCTTACCCGTGTACAGTACCAGTCAACCCGTGTGTGCTTGAACCCACGACCTGTGTCTTGAAAGTCCTTTGTTGGTTGCTGTAGGTAGGATGGTCGTCGGGTCTCAAACCGTAGGTCTGTAGGATAGATGGTAAAGGTTGTAGCTGCTACAGTCCTGAAAGGTCAAGTCTGCAGTCTTCCGGAAGGTCCGGAAACGACCTTTCGTAGGTCTTAGGAGGTAGACTGTAGGCAAGTGGGCAAGTGGGCAGACTAACTCTGCCCAGTCAGCGGTACCAAGTCCCAGTCGCACTTTGTCAAGTCAGGAAGTGCCATGTGGGACTGTGTGCACCCCGGGCTCAGGGTCCAAGGGCAGACCATTGACAATCCGAAGTATAAATCACGAGGCAGCGTCAAGGCATTCATTCATTCTGTCTGTGAGCCATGCGGAAGCGCTGCCTGAGCGTCTTGTGCAAGGAGGTCTGCAGGTTCCCATGGAGTAGAGGGCTGAGAGGAGGAAGATCGGCCATAGCCGATAGGGTGTTAGTAGGTAGGAGAGAGACGGCGGCCATAGCTGCCATGTCAGCAGTTAGTAGCGTTAGTGTGCGTGTAGAGAGGGAGTGTGTGTGTGTGCATGTGCGGGACATCCAGGGAGATCCAGGGTGTGTGTACGAACAGGTTGCTGAGAGTGCACGTGTCGACCATAGCCGGCCAAGTTTGAATCTTAGTTGTGCTCTTGGCTTCGTTATCTCTGAGCTTTGTGTGGGAGTGAGGTGCCAGATTGATCGTCATTTGTTTGTGCTCATGCTGAAAGTCGAAGTCGTCAAGTCTGATTGCACTTTTTTATTTTAACTTTTTAAGTCAGATTCTCTTTTTTTGGGGGGAGGGGTCTGGTGGTGGATCTGGACATCAGGACTGGACACCGGACCCTGAAACTCAGAACCGGATCATAGCCGAAGTTTACACACAAAACACTGAGTAAACTAATTCTTATGTGATGTTTATTTATAGGATTAGGGTTAGGTGTACCAACGGGCCTAGCTTAGTTTGTACACCTACGAACTGTTGAAATACATACCCAAGCTGAAATCCAGATACAATCAGATGACCAAAATAAAATCATTCCGAATAACCTGGGGTCGGTCTGATACAATCAGATGACCATAATAAAATCATTCTGAATTACCTGGGGAAAATGAGAAGGGGAATGAAAAGAAGAATAGGAAAAAAAAGTGAGGATTAGGGCAGGTGTTTTAACGACATGGAAGTCTTAGGCATCTCTAGGCGATATTAGGGTTATAGGCACAGATCTGGTCTTGAGCAAAGTAAAATCACTCAGCGAATTTCTGTTTTATCTCGCCCAGTCCCTACTTCAGGAAGTTCAGGTTTTATCCAAAAACAAAACAGAATTCAATCCAACTTCAAATAAGAATCAATGCGCTAGCGAGGAGAGAAATATTTCTTAAATTTTCTTTTTGTTGGTTCATACTACAGAAGTTTGGGAGAACAGTAATTTTCCATTTCAAACTGACCCTAGATTTAGGACGGACCTAACTGTAAACCATCATCTGTTGATCAACTCTGAAAAACATTTTACTCAGTAGGAATAGCAGTAGATGATTGATATAGATTACCCAACAGACTGAAATCAGCACAAACAGGGGTGAACGACAGTCATGCAGTGTGAAACCCCTAGTCTAGACACAGTGTCCAACTAAGGAACTCTAATCTAGACTTAGGTGGGTAGTCTGAGATGAGTTCACTGATAGAAACTTGATTGAAGATCCAGCGCCAATCAACTTTGCTCCTGGAGCCAGCAAATCAACAGCGCCATGCAGAAAACCAGATCTCGATAGCCAAACTGGCTCAGGCAAGTCAGCGCCCAACCCAGTTGTCTCCTGGTCCTTCAAATCAGTGTCCGTCCTGGCGCTATGTTGTTAAGGGTTATGGAACCCTAAACTAGCTCAGCGCTGAGGGAAGGAAAGGTCACTAACCCTACCTCACTTTCGTACAGCATCTCGCTGCCTGCAGATCCACGCATGCACTGCCTGCTCACTTCCACTCAATCACTGAACTCTCAATTCAGCTTCTTCTAACTCACAGACCTCCTCTCATCTTTTTCCCCAGATCACATCGCTTGAAGACGGCAGAAATTCCGGTCCTCCAACTCAGCAGCTCCCCGGAAGAAGACGGCCAACAGTTTGCTCGCAAAACGTACCCAGATGCAGCTCCGACACCAACTGCTATGTGACTGATCGAGAATGCAATCCAGCAGAGTATCACCATGTTCCCATAAACACGTAGAGATGCCAAAGCAGTTTTGGAGAGGGACTCACACCACACCAAACAGAGATGCACAGCGGAAGTCCAGTAACCAAGAAGAATTGAGTAGAATAAATTCCAAAGTCCCTTGCCACTTTTCAGCCCAATCAAGACCGCAAACAAAATCAAGAATCACAGCCGTGAGTAGATCACCTTGAACAAACTCAGACCACAGCTTCATCAAGTCTCTGCAGTCTTTCTCCACCTTCCCACTCAACCTCCATAACCGGCTATGGAGTACAGCCCAATTTCACAGTGCCCAGCCTCACTACTTTACAAACCAGCAGCGCCTCCTCTCAACGGCCCCAGATGTACCAGTGCTGCTCGGAACTCCTTCAGGTGCTGTAGCTCTGTCTCAGACCTGTGCCTGTTTATGGATGAAGAAGGAACCTCCAGCTTGAAGAAGTAACATACAGCTCCCACGAAGAAGAAGATATGGCGGCGCCTAACCCCACAGCACAGATAGCTGTCGCCAGGCCCCGCAGATGAAGCACTTGCTTCATCACTGCCCGAAACCCTAGCAGCGGCTCCGAGCTACAGCGCTCCTCCAGCAACGTGGCTGGGTCCACAAGAGCACTAAACAACTGCTCAGCAAAAGTCCTCTAACCCTTGGGCCCATTCTATTTATAATTCTACTCTTAACCTACTGGACTCGACTGCCTGGGACCTCAAACCAATTAACTGTTATGGGTCTGTGTTTTCCAGTAACAACAATACCGGTCTGAGGCAAAGGTAAACCAACTAACAGTTAGGGGTCTGTCATTTTCAGTAGCAACGTTACCTGTCTGTGACCCATTTTAGCGGTAGGAATGTGCAGAAAAGTTCCTGCCGGTTTAGGCGTGTTTCAATTACACGTTAGGACCCAGAACTCTGAAAATTTGCAAAATGGTCCCAGTCAGTGCTACAGCCCGCTGAGAAACTGCAAGAACATTGCTCAAGGTATCCAGGGTGGACTGCAGGCTGAGCAGAAAGGCATCAATTTCTCACCCAGTCTGTTGGGTAGGACTAGGAGCCAGGGAGGCTCTAGGTCACCAAGGTAGAGACAGGGTTGGTCTGGAGTCATGACAACACTTGTAGGGTAAAGAATGGTGACCTTGGGTGCTGGCTGGTGAAAAGCGGACATGCTGCCGGTTCACTGGTTGGCTCCCGAGCCCAGTGATTCAGCAGACTTGCAGGGAAGTCCGTGCACGGAGGTGGTGGCAGCTTGGAGCTATGAAAGCTTTAGCTTGTCTGCTCTCTTTGAGTACAACCCATGATATCGCTGAGATGACGCAGGGAGTTAAACCACCAGTACATGGCCCCAGCCTAGTAGAAAATCGCGAGCTGCGAACTCCAAATTTTCACGGCTCGGGGCTACCAGACCACAATGGCTAGCGGTGCCTGCCAAAAAGAGAAAAAGTGCTCCACTGGGGGTTCGGAAAAGCTTGGCGTGCAGTGCAGTGCCTCCATGCCCAGGTGTACAGGTGGTTCACGCAGAGGATCTCGCAGAAGCTTAGGGCTCCATGAACGGCTATCAGCAAAGTAGCTCACCGGGGACCCAAGAATCAAGATGTATGGTGGCAACCTCCTGCAGCTAGGAGGAGATGCTACCCTTGTGTTGTTGTCTCTAGCGAAATTGGGAGAGAGAGCACATTGGACTCGATGGGAGAGAGGAGAGACAAGAGTAAGAGAAAAGTACTGGTTTAATATGCGAGGTGTATCTTTCAGACATTGATTCTTTATTCATGCATGGATCAACCAGTAGGAGGTTGAGGCAAAGTGTGCGTGTCATAAGGTGGCAATATGAGCGAGATAGATTACTGGCTTAATGTTTCATAAATTGTTTATTTTTCTTCGTTCTTTTACAGTTCTTGTTCTTACTTCATAATCCTCTCGTCTTTTGCAGCGTGCTTCTTTATGTATGTTTTGAGTCGATTCTTTATTGACCTTCATTCTGCTCTTTCATACTCCATCATTCTCTTGTCATTTGCACTCTACTTCATGTCGATGCTGCGAACTTGAGTTTCTCAACTTGAAATGAATTAGGATCATAGCAACTTGTAGGCCAACTGCTTTGGTCTTGTTGTGGCAGCACCTGTTCGGACAAACTTGCAAAAGGGCATTCGTATACAAACATACGGAAGCACAAAAGTGCAATATTCGTGGCCATTTCTTTCGATCGTCTTTGTGCGCATTAAGAGTAATTGGCCGCAGGCAGACACACAAATGTACACAGATTCAATGCAGACAAGTGGGAAGTGATACATCACTCGAGCATCAGGTTCAACTCGCTCTCCTGTGGCTTCGATTAGGCTCCTTTGCATGCATTGTAGAAACTTGCCTTGTAGTTTACAATCTGTTTTCAGCTGTTGGATGCCTGTTTATCAGCAATTGTGCCAAGGGCATCATATCTTCTTGGAACACTGGGGTTTTAGTGGCACTACGTAGTATCACTGCATTTTGTAAAAAATTCTGTCATGGACCTAATGCTCCCTACTCGTACAAATTCAGCACACTATATGAGACACAAGCGTATTGATGAACATAAAAAAAAACTCGGAGAGTGGATCATGTAACTTCTACACCTTTAACCTTCACTACATTTGGACTCCTCCTCCTCGCAGCTACTGCTCAAAATTGTTGTGATTCAGGTCGCTCCCTCTACCTCCCACCCCCTCTTCTCCCACCCCCTCTTCTCCCTTGTAGGGTTTCTGCAAACTTGGCATCAACTTCCAACATCGAAGTCAGGCTCATGGGGATCCACGGTTGTTGTCTAAAATCCTAACGGCCTGTACATACCCATCGCCTGTTTTCGTTGGTGCCCACCATCCAATCCTCTCCCATATTCTCCCTTAATCAAGCATGGCTTCTTTCTTCGCCTTCAAAGCCTTCTCTCCCTCACTTTGCATAGCGGAATGGAATGACTTCCATTTTTTTGGGCAGGCTCATTGTCACTCCATTCCTCGCTTCTATTTATCCCTTCGATTGCATGCGCTCTCGGCTTGATTCCTGAGTTCTTATCTCCCTCTCTCCAACTATGTGTGGCTCTCCGTGTCTTCTTTCCTCGTCCCTCTGCCCCTGCAGTTACATGTGACCTGGTGTACTGAAAAAGGTGAGTGGTATTTCATGGACAAAACTGCTGACCCAGAGAATCATCCGCTCTGGCTCATATCCCAGGATTGACCAGCTCACGAACCAAAAATGAGTTTGCCAACTTTTCTCTCCTCTGCTTCGTCCCTCTGGATCTCCTCTGTCATCTTTCCGCTCTGGGACTACGTGAAGGAAACCCTCCCTTTTGTGGGAGAAGGTCCTCGTCCTCTTCACTCTGAGTCTCCTGGATCATCTTCCTGCTTTGCCCTCCCCTCGGTGGTAGAAGGAGCCATGCGACTGAGAAGCAGAAACGCAAGGAAGGACTGTACGGATGGCTTGTGATCCTATCAACTCAGTCTCCTCACCACCTCCATCTGATGCAGAACATGCCATGGTTCCGTATTCTGCGATGCTAACAAAACTGTGCCGTTTATGCAGTCGACTTCTGGCAACCTACATCTGCTGTAGTTTAATGTGATGGAACTGCTCCACTCGTAAACAGAAAAGATTGCGGTAATCTCCCGCTCTCTTCTTTATCTACATTGTGGAATCTGTCTGCTTCTCTACTCTCATTCTTCCCCTACCTCACTCTGTCATGCGTCCAAAATTTTGCCAGGCCGTTTTTGCAACAATCTGCGGGAAGGCCTGCTGCTCTCTTCCACCACTCTCTTGTGATACTTCTCCAGGGCTTTCATCGGTGTTAAGGCAAAAAACGTATGGTCGATGTCTTTTCTGGCACTTATCACGAGGTGATACTATGCTGCCGACTTACCACATGATGGTGTTGACAGTACAACCTACCAATTGTTCTCCTGGTCACTTTGAGCTCCTCGTTTTGGTCGTCAATGATGCATTTTTCACATCCGTAATGACCTGCTTCCACTGCTAGCCGCATCTGATCACTTAGTACTGTTGTATGCCTTGACTCCCATCTCGTTGGAATATATACTCCGTTTCTTTTGCTAGCAACAGGATGTTGGTAATGCTTGAATCCATCTCCCAGCGAATGTCACAATCCACCTGGAAAAGATAAAGACGCGTACCTGTCAGTTCTTCTCTTATGAATGCTAGAAACTGACTGTTTACTCCAGAAATAAGGGAAAAAGGATGTTTTGAATGCCATTCGTCACAGTAGAACTCGAAGAATTGGCAGGTCACTGATGGGGGCCGGTTGAGGAGGAGCAGTAGCAGATTTGAGAAGCAGCAGGAGAGTGGTTGAGGCTATAAAAAGCAACTTCCAGACTCATCCTTCCCTGAGCTTTGACCATTTACTTCGTCCCTAACCAGAATGCATGTTGGTATGAAGGTCTACCGAAGGCACTGCAGTCCCATATAAAAACACAAGGCTCATGTCCTCTTTACGGCGAAAATCCGCCATCCCTCTGCCCTTCCCTCTTCCCCCCTGCCCCCTTTCTGTTCCCTTACTCTTGCAGCTGTACAGCGGGAAACAGACTTTCCAGAGAAAGCCAGTCAGTCCAAACGTTGCAGAATGCTTGGCAGAACACCCACAGGTTAGAAAATGACAGAAAGGATCAGACATAACGTAGATGAGGAACAACCTCTGTGGCAATCTGTGTATGGTTTACGTTTGTAATACTTTGTATAGCTTTTTTTTGTGAGAATCTCTCCTGTGATGGTGTAAACGGAAAGGGCAGGGGTTGCCAGGGACCAGGGTTCTCCCTATGCACAACCAATGTCTTTCTTTTTAAATAGGTCTGAAAATCTGAAATTTATTGATGCAGAGCAAGGGGACTGTGATGCATTCCCTCATTTGTGTTGACATTTCATGAATTCACAGTTGATTTGCTCAAAATGAGAGGTGCGGATTAAGAGCAGCAGCAAAACTACAAGAGTCATTTGGAGGGGAAAGGAAAGGGGGAAAAGAATCATTGTAGGGCTGAAAAATGAGAGCAACAAAATAGTAGATATTAAGAGACCCTTGAAATCCTTAAATGGATTATACCGATGCCGGACTTCCTATCCCCACACTGGTACAATGATGGCCATCCTGGAAGTGAAAACCGACGACCCGCCGGTATTCCCCTTCGTTTGTACACTCCAGATCAACGACAGGGAGGTAGAAATTACCATGCCAACCAAATCGTCACCCATTTGTTTCAGATCCTGAGAAAGGGGACATGTAGGGTCGTTCAGACAAAGGCTCATGATGAGGAGCAGCCAAAAGAAAGATCCACGGTAGGGTGCAGTGAAGCAGAAGGGTGAAAACAAAAATAATGGAGATGAAAAATGCTACACCGACCAGGATTCAACAGTCACTGTAACCAGGGAAGGGCGTGCATATGGATAAGAGGGACAGGGATAGGCCCTCCCTGAAGGAATGGCAGTGTTAAATGTTGCACTCGTGGACACTGTCGACTTGGCAGATTGAGATGGGAGGGAGGGGAAGACCTTCACAAGCTGCTGGTGAAAGGTGAATGACGGTTCTGCTCCCCAAAATAGATTGGAGGCATGGCCATAAAGCCGCAGAGAAAGTACATGGAGAGAGCGTGAATAAAAAAAAAAAGAAAAAGACATCTGGAGAGTTTAAGGGGAGTTTCAGGCAGGGAAATTTGGATGCCGAGATTGACATCCTTGATGACGGTTTGAGACCAAACATGATATTTTGGCACTGGTCATGGATTATGAGAGCAAATGAGGCCTCGGAAATGAAAACTCCGGGGGGTATTAAACAACCAGTACCCGGTCCAGCCAAAAAAATCCGACCTCCTGAATTCATGGAGGTCCTTGACAGGGTTGATAGAGGCCGGGTAGAGCCTCGGTAGAGGAGCAGGGGTCGCTCGTTTTGAAAACGAGAAGGAACGACCAGAGAAGGAAATACCAGTAGGATTCAACCAGAAAAAAGAGGAAGAAAAAAAAATCTGGAAAGGGAAAAGCTTACTGGGAACGGCGCGCGGCAGGTGGTGGAGCAGTGTCTCATGAGGAACTATCCAGCGTGCAGATATGATAAGGAATCCTCCCCCTGAAAGCTGGTTGATACAGGGAAGATTCGTATGTGGCCCTGGACAAGGATGACGCGCATAAATTGAGAAATAGATCGGGAAAAAAAAAAAAAAAAAGCAGCAAGCTACAGCCCCCGTGGCATCACTCTCACAGGCGTCAGTTGAGATTTGCGCAGTGCCATGACTCTGACAGGCGCGTTACCCGCGCCTCGGTAGAGATTTGCGCTGCATGGCCTTCGGATGTGCAAAATGACGATGAATCCTCACCCAGAACGCTGGTAGATACACTAAAGATTAGCATAGCACTGTGTGAGGATAACACACATAAATCGAGAAATAGTCCCAAAAAAGGGGGAACACACACAGCTACAGCGGCCTACTCTTTGTCTTTTGTACATTGGGGCCTCCCTCCACTACTCTCCAAATGTGTGAAATGGGACTGAATCCTATGCTAGAACATGGCAAGATACATTGCCATACTTTGTTGTCCTGTGCATGTGGAGTAGTGGAGCTGCGCCCCCAGGTTGTAGCTCGAGAACCGTGACACTATTGTGACGAGGGGAGAAATTGGCTAATTGCAGACAAATGGGAGAAAAGGAAAAGAGACGAAGGAAAAAAATAAAATAAAATACTAAGGCGGAAAAAAGCAAACCCTAACCCTCTATTGTCTATTTTGGATCTGCAGTACCTCTATTTTCCTTCTCTTTCCCCTAACCCTCACCCTCCCTCTCCC